GCCGAGTGAAGACGTCATTCATTAACAGCAGCTGAACTTTAGCTGTTCATGCTCAGTCATGCCTCACTTAACCTGGTTAGATTTAACTTTTGCTAGACTCTTCTGAGCTTCAAGTTTAAACGTTAGCAGCTCGTGATCCAAGCGATTACAAAGATGTTGAGCTAAGGGAAGAAAAACATTTGTCAAACTGAATGTAACAAAATACTAACTAAAAGCTAAAAGTAGCTGAATGGTAGCTGGAAGCTAAATGTAGCACAAAAGGCTAGTTAAAAGCTGCTAAATGTTAGCTAAAATTCAGAAGAATTAAAAGCTAGTTGAAGATTTTTTAACCTAAAGTTGCAAAAGGCTTGCTAAAAGCAGACATATAGCTAAATGTAGCCAAATGCTAGCTAAAGACTACTTAGTGCAAAATTAGCAAATGGATTGACAAAAATGTAAATTAGCATGAGGGTATAGCTAAAAGTAGAAAAAAAACAAACTTAGAGCTTCAAAAGGCCAGCTAGAGGCCAAAAGTAGTAAAAGGCTGGCTAAAAGCTAGAAGTAGCTAAACGCTGACTAAAGGTAACAGACGCCTAGCTAAAAGTATCAAAAGGTAAGGCTTAAGTAGCTAAAAGTTATATAAAAGAAGCAGGATGTAAGCCAAATGCTAAAAGCAGCAAAAGACTAGCTATATAGTAAAAAGTTTGAGAAAAGCAGCCGAATGTTAGTTAAAAACTAAAAGTAGATAAATATTGGCTAAATGTGTCAAAAGGCTAGTCAAAGCTAACTAAAGGATGGACAGAAGCTAAAGTAGCAAAATGGTAGCCAAAAGTATACAACAAAATAGGAAGATGCTATCTAAAAGTTAAAGTAATAAAAGAAAAAAAAAAAGTACCAAAAGGCTAACTATAAGTAGCAAAATGCTAGCTACAAGTAACAGAATGGAGGCTAAAAATAGCAAAATAGTAGCTAAACGTTAAAAGAAGTGGAACAATAGCAAAACTAAAAGTGGCATAAAAGGTTAAATTGGACCCAGTGGCTGAAGCAGATTTCAAATAGAAAGATGTTTTTAAAGAATGGAAGAGATTTCAACGTATCTGGAAAATAATTTTAAATAAATTTAAATATTTTTAAAAGTACATTAGCTAGGGGCTGCGGTAACTTGGAGCTTAGTGACACTGTCCGAAGCTTTTCGGATGAAACGTTTCTACATTTGTTTATTTTTTGAACCCGTCCAGACGTGACTCACACGTAACTCCTGTAGACGTCTTGTGTTCCTGAGGTTGCAGGTTCAAGTCCAGGTTTCATCAGGAAGGGCATCTGTCGCTGATTGCCAAATTTTTCACGCAAATTCGCTCGATGTGGCGACCTCTAAAGAAAGGAGCAGCCAAAATAAAGTACATTTTAAAGTATTTTAGCTAAAAAATAATAATAATACAAAAGGCCATA